TGAAATGAATTTTAAAATTTTTAAATGAATTTAAAGTATAACCTTGCTTGGCCCTTATATTTTTTAAATCTATCCTTTTTTGATGATATATATGATTTAGTAGTGTAGAGCTAATATATAAAACATAATCAAGATGGGTTTTAAAGAAGTTTAAGGTTTAAAATAACTTCAGATTTTCACAAATTGTACAATATCAGAGATGATATTAATGAATTTTAGGTATTATGTTTTTTACATCTATCCTTTTTGATGTCATATATGCTTTAGTAGTGTTGAACTAAGATGTAAAACAAAATTTAGACAGGTTTTAAAGAAGTTTAAGGTTTTAAACAAGTTCAAATTTTGACGAATTGTACAATATCAGAGCTGTTATTAATGAATATTGGGTATTTAGGTGAGCCTTATGTTTTTTACATCTATCCCTTTTTGATGACATATATGCTTTAGAAGTGTTGAACTAAGATGTTAAACAAAATTTAGACCGGTTTTAAAGCAGCTTAAGGTTTAAACAATATAAAAAATTGAAGAATTGTATAATAACAGGTCTGGAATTTATCAATTTTAGGTATAACTGTGAATGGCCCTTATTCGTTTTTTACATATATCTCTCTATGATAACAAATATGGTTTTGTAGTATGAAACTAAGATGCAAAACATAATTTAGATGGGTTTTAAGGAGGTTTAGGGTTTTAAACCTGTTCAAAACTTGACAAATTGTACAATATCGTATCTTCTGACATTAACGAATTTCAGGTATGTATCTCTCTATGATGATATATATGGTTTAGTAGTATGGAACTTAGATGTAAAACATAATTCAAATGGGTTTTAAGGAAGTTTAAAGGCAGAATCAGATCTATGGGTGTGACAAAATTACAAGCAACATGTACAGTTCATGTACCAATCTATTCCTTACAATCTCAAATACAATATCTCCAAAAAGATTCATGATGTGTTAAAAATTGATGAAGTAATAATGGATTCAAAAAGCAAAAATGGGTGAAAAATATTTAAATTCTCCCAAAATAATAAGAATGGTAACCATTCTTATGGAAAAATAATACATTATTGTAGAAATCTTTAGTTTTCCTGAAATTAAGTGTGCACTTTGGGGATTATTAGCAAACAGACATGAAAAGGAATGACATAAGCCAGAAATATTCAAAAAGGTCCATGTGCAGTATGGCAAGTGATTTTAGACGGTCATATATTTCACCATGAGTACTTTCTGGGCATAAATACAGTGGTTTTTATTAAAAAAATATATTTTCTTTCAAGTGAAGTCCCCATGAAAAATTATAAATTGGGACCCCATGTCAACAATTTTTTCTAAATCTTTAGAGCCAACCAAGGTTATACTTGAAATGTAGTGTTAATTGCAGAATTAATATTGTACAATGCGCCAAGATTTTGAACATGTGAAAATCACTAAACCTTCTTAAAATCCATCTTAATTGTTTTTTTTACATCTTTTTATCATCTTAGTTCTACACTACAAAACCATACATATCTTCAAAGAGGGACAAATGTAAACAATATATGGCTCACCAAAGGTCTTACCTGAAATTCGTAAATTCAGACCGGATATTATACAATTTTTCAAATTTTGAACATGTGAAAATCCTTAAACCTTCTTAAAATCCATCTTTATTGTTTTTTTACATCTTAGTTCCACACTACAATACCATACATATCATCAAAGAGGGACAGATGTAAACAATATATGGCTCACCAAAGGTCTTACCTGAAATTCGTAAATTCAGACCGTTTATTATAGAATTTTTCAAATTTTGAACATGTGAAAATCCTTAAACCTTCTTAAAATCCATCTTTATTGTATTTTTACATCTTAGTTCCACACTACAATACCATACATATCATCAAAGAGGGACAAATGTAAACAATATATGGCTCACCAAAGGTCTTACCTGAAATTCGTAAATTCAGACCGGATATTATACAATTTTTCAAATTTATTTAATTTATTTCAAACCATAGGCATCAGCTATAGTCATACACAAAATCACCCCTCTCAAAAATGTCAAATTTTTCAAAAAATCAACGATTTTTTTCTCGGCTCCTTCTAATTCGTAAATTCAGACCTGATATTGTACAATTCTTCAAATTTTGGACTCATTAAATTCCTTTAACCTTCTTCAACACCATCTAGGTTATTTCTTACATATTAGTTTCACACTACAAAACCATAAATATCATCAAAGAGGGACAGATGTGAAAAATATATGGCTCACCAAAGGTCTTTCCTGAAATTCGTAAATTCAGACCTGATATTGTACAATTCTTCAAATTTTGAACTTGTTAAAATCCTTAAACCTTCTTAAAAACCATCTAAATTATTTTGTACATCTTAGTTCCACACTACAAAGCCATAAATATCATCAAAGGGGGACAGATGTAAAAAATCTAAGGATCATCCAAGGTCTTACCTAAAATTTGTAAATTCAGACCTGATATTGTACAATTCTTCGAATTTTGAACTTGTTTATACATTAAACTTCCTTAAAACCCATTTTAATTATTTTTTACATCTTAGTTCCATACTTCAAAACCATATTTATCATCAAAGAGGGATAGATCTGGAAACCATAGGCATCAGCTATAGTCATACACAAAATCACCCCTCTCAAAAATGTCAAATTTTTCAAAAAATCAACAATTTTTTTCTCGGCTCCTACTAATTCAATTAGTTTGAACCTTTCAGGGCTCATAGCCCTGCTACTGGGCACTTCACATGAAATTTTTCAATGTCTTCCAGTGTCTGATTGAAAAGTGAAGCTCTAAATAGTAAAAAAATGGGTCACGAATTTGCCCCCTGGGGTACATACTTTGTAGTATTTTTCAAATTCTGTAGGAGTGATTGGCATTATTTATTTTGCAAATGATTCATATATATAATGTCTATGTATGTAACTTAAAAACATTTAGATATCTAAAATTATTGAAGATGAAAAAATTATTTTCCGGGGTAGGGGTGTTTTTGGGGGGTGGGGGGCTAACCCCTGAAAAAAAAGAATTATGTACCACTCTGTGAAGCTATCACCTAGGTAGAATTTTCATCCAAGACTTCCCTCTAACTGAAAATGCTGCCAAACCAACTATACTCCATTTATTAAGAATTTCCCTCCTCGCTCTTAGAGTAATTTCATAATTTTTGATAAAAAAATGTCATTTATACCATAAAAGTGCATATATTTTAGAAACAAGTCAAATTCTTTATTCTTATATTAACCAGAGAGATGAACTTACATAGTGCATATATTTTGATTAACATCATGAGGAAAAGCAGTTACACCATTTTCACGCTTAACGGAGAATGGCTGAATACGCAATTATATAATATATTATATACGCATATGTAATATGTATTTAATTTTACTGCCATTTCATAATTTTTGATAAAAAAATGTCATTTATACCATAAAAGTGCATATATTTTAGAAACAAGTCAAATTCTTTATTCTTATATTAACCAGAGAGATGAACTTACATAGTGCATATATTTTGATTAACATCATGAGGAAAAGCAGTTACACCATTTTCACGCTTAACGGAGAATGGCTGAATACGCAATTATGCAACAATGAATACACAGGCAGTGCTTTCATTAATGGCGTCCTTCAATGGAGAGGACGTAAATCAAGATAGGGTGGACGTGAATCAAAAAAATAATTATGTTTTTGGGACGCAATTTGAATTTGGTAAATCACTTTGTGAATCCACTAAATAATTGAAGGAAATCCTATTTCTAAAAGAAATAAATTTTCTTTCGAAGTTTCCTTGTTGATTTCTGATCGAATTAGTACGAGGCATGTGATAGGACAAATGGTTATCCAATACTCGATATCCGAGCAGTAATCAGTACGAGGCTTACGATTGGCCGCTAACTGAAGACCAGATTTAAACCATTTTCTATTGGTCAAGTGCGATCACAGATCATTATTTAAGAATGCGCATGAGCAAGAAACTGAACCAAAAAATTGAACCTCGCGCAGATTGCCCCTAAACTAAAGCAAAATCAGTAGCTAATTGCTTCGAAATACGCAAAGAAAATGTGTTTCTACTGGTTGAATATAAGTTATACCTCACAAGTGATGGTATCTGTATCATTCAATGACATACTACACTCGCCAGAACACTGATTTAGACAGATAAATAGCAAAAGCGATACAAAATTTCATCAATTTTATTTTATTAGTGTAAAAGCGTGACTTTGAATTCCAGGGAACATTTTTTCAAGGGACACAGTTTTTTGAGGGGGAGACGCATTTTTAAAAATCGTTACGTCCCAGGGATGCAATCTTAGACAAACCTACTGAAAACACTGACAGGGTATTAAGCAGATATGCACTCACTCTTGTAGAATATATAATGCCATCTATGGAACATATATAACTCTATCTATAAACATCATTGCATAAAATAGAGTACATCTAAATGCCGCTCTAAGTGACATCTTTTTCATACGCTTTACACTAAGGTCATGACATATGAGGTAAAAATGACATATGGATTATCAGATAATGCTTAATTATCTCATTTAGATAATTTTTTTCTTTTTGGAGATCAAACATGTGACATAGCTCAATGTTTTCGTGCATTAAACTTATTAAAAAATTTTAGGTCAAAAATTCAGCCTACAAAGTTATTGTTTTCGGATTATCCTAATCCCAAAGTAATTAAGTTTTTCTTTTAAGAGGTAAATCATGTCTTACAGTAAATTGTAATATTGCCATAAAAGCGGAAATAAAATGCTGCATTTTTAGTGAAAATTACGTCAGAATTAGGGAAAATTGGTGAAGATGGGTGGATTAGGGACAGCTTAAGTGATAATCCAATCAATTTGATTATCATCCTAATGTCATTTATTGAAGATAAGACATGGATCTAACGGAACCATTTGTTTTTGTGGTTAAAGTATTCTTCAAACTAAAGATATAGCCCTTTGAAATTGCTTGCCATATTTTACGTGACTTTTTACCTTCTTCATCTTTCTTGGCACACTCAGCAAAGAGTTCTGTTGTGTGAATGTTGATTCTGTCCCTGTGGAAATAATGCGACTGGAAGAACTTGGTCCAGAAGGCAGATTCTGACATATTATGTGGCACATGTTCTTGGTACTTGCTCTGGACTGGAAATAAATAGTAAATATATGGTATACAATAAATATATGGTATATAAATATATGGTATATACTTGTATAAAGGATACTTCTGTCACAAACTGGTTTTGCATAAAAAACTCAAAAAAAAGTTTCGCATAGAAAAAAAGCCAGCATTGACTCTATAGAATACATACCGATGATCTCCCCAGGATTTTTTCTCAAATGGGTGCAAAATTCTCATTTTCACAATTCAGATCAAAATTGGTCAAAATATGCCAATTTTTCATGATTTTTCTCATTTTCAAGTGGGTGCAAATGGATTCTTGGGTTAGTGCCAACTTTCAAAATCTCAGGTGGGTGCTGCACCCACTTGCTTTAATTCTGGGGAAATCACTGCATTTGATCATTGGCTGAGACGAGAAGTAGATTTTATTTGTTCAAACAAAATGTTAATGGGTAAAAGGACAGACAAACAGACAGACAAACAGACAGATCATTTTCCAGTCATCATTCATTTATAACATGTGGATCCAAAAGAAGATTAAATTGGGGTTGCCCTCCTCTAAATATGCATAAATTGCTATATAAGTATTTAGTTACTAACACTGGGTGTCTCTTTGATATCATTGTCATTATATCGTATCATTAACTTGTCTCCTATAGGACAAAACACTTGAAATAAAAAAAATAAAAATACCTGCAGGGTATGTTTTGAAGATAGACTCAATGATATCTGTTGTGATGTTATATTTCAAGCCATTGCAGCCATCGCTTTGTGGTTTCACCTCCGCCAAAAAAGATGCCGAGACACCAACATCCTGTTTGGAGGTACTCGCCACTGGATTTGATGGTGCTTTGTTTCCAACTGGGGTTGGTTCTGAGGTAGGTTTATTCTGAAAGGAGATTTGAAACACTGTAAAACTGGTAATTTATATAATTCAAGGATTTCAGCATAAAGACACTTAATTGTTAAGTTCCAAGAAAAGTATTTTTGATTTAAAATTTGGCAAAAACCCTCCCTGCCTATATTATGTTCTAGAGGAAGTTCTACAAAGGCTATAAGAGGCGACTAAATGTCAATAGTTGCTGAAAACAAAAGATAATTTCATAATGGTCTACCCCCCACCCCATCTCACTCCACCTATATCCATATTTTTTAAATAAAGTCATAATTTACCTCTTAATCCACTCTAAAGAAATTATCTTTGTTATTCCAAAGCTATTGACATTCAGACCCAACCTAAATAATTATCGTAGGCTTTCTACATAAAAAAAACATGTGAACATAAACTACAACTACCATGTTTTTGACTCTATTTGCCCAGAATTCCTCGGCAGAAATAACCTGGCTCACAACCAAGTCTTTATAGAGCTGGAATAATTCTGCATCCTCCTGGAGCATCCTGAAAATATAGGCTAAATTACAAATAAAATAAAATACAAGTAACATGCATATTCATCCTATACAAAGTGAGTGGATGGAAACCATATGGAGGATAGGGTAAAGGATGAAAAAGCTAAGTACATAACATTGTACAGCTATATATATTCAACATTTTCAAATAAAAAATCAGAGGATTTAATGGATAAAAAAGTCTTTAAAAGAGTAAATAAATTCTTAAATATTTTTTGGGCATTGTGTCAATGGGATTTAGCAGAATATTTATAAAACTTGGAAATCCTGGGAGTAAATGAAAATAACTTTTAATTACTTTTATAATAGAAAATTATGCACAGAATTGAGTTATGTCATTAAACAGGAAAAATAGTCCAGAATGATTAAAAAGCAGATTTTCTTCAATCTCATTAGCAATGAAACTCCCAATCAGATTTCAAAGCTATATAGCATTTCTCTATAGTGGTAACATACCTATTTTTCTCCTCCAATTCACTATTTATCTTTCGCCTAAACTTTGGTAGCAGCTGCTGCAGCAGTTCTTTGACACCTTCTCTGTCTGACACACTCTCAGGACGCCCCTTGGGGTTTGTGAATTGGAATGTATTGGCCCCACCGTCATGTAGTGAGATCTGAAGTTGCACTTTCTCCTTTGTGTCCGGAGATATCTTTTGCACTGGAGACATTCAAAGTAAAGAAGTGTTCTACCTATGATTTGTTTTATTTATTCATTGTTTTAATGTGCATGCAATTTTATGTTTGTGTAAACACTTGTAGTATTTTATGTCATGTAAAAATAAAAGATGTGGTAGATCCAATAACGCTGAAAAAATCTTAATGACATGATTTTAGACCATAATCGTGCTTTGGAGAATGACTGAAGATATTTGCCCTTAAATATACTACAAAAAAAGTTAAGGATCACACATCTAGGTTCTCATCATGAAAATGTGCATTGGATGTTGTGAAACATTTTTCACTGTTGTCTCTCAGGTGTTGTCTTCAAACATGTCCAATAAAAACACCATCTAAACAAATATAATGTGAAAGAACAAGGAACCGTTAACTATCTGAAAAAAGTTATGAGAAAAGTCTAAAGTGGTCGTGCTCCTTTACATTTTTTGAGTAGTGTATATAATTCTGAATGATTCTAAATATCAATAAATAGCAACAACAACAAACTTACTCTTGATATCAGCATAGCTGTGACTGACTGAAAACGAGTCCTTGCTTTTAAGCATCCAGGCCATTCTCTCTCCCATCATGTAAAGAACTCCCTCTGATTTTTTGTGACGTACATGATGAACTATAAGTAGGACTTCTTCTGATGAGGTTGCCATTGTTAATGCTTGCAGGATGCCCAATGACTGCAAAGAATTAAACAAGTTATCAGATCCAGTAAGTAACAGAGAGATAACATATAAAAATTGTTCAATTGTTTTTGGGCAGTCAATTACAACACGTTGAGTAAAAGTGAGTCCTATTTTGAATTGCATTCATATTCTAAAACTTTATCTCCAACTTTAAATTTCAAGTTTGAACCAATCGAACAAAAAAAGCTAATCTTGCCATCAAAAAGAAGGCCAATCTTGATAAACACTGCCTGTTTGTCAGGGCTATCATTCAACCAGATATGTTAACAAAACCGAGCTTTGTCTTCACTCTTTCAGTTTACAATAAATCAGAGTTCATCGTCGAAATATGGTCATTTCCTTTGACATCATCGCATAATTAATTAGCATGCATTTAGCACATGTTCCTTTCAGTTAGCTGATTGATTGAGAAAAGGTCAACACAGTACACTGTAGCTACATGTAGGTTTGAAATGATTTAAGATCCGGGCTGTCGTGGGCAACATTCGAGGGAGTGGGGTTGGTAAATCGTAATATAGTCTAAACCAGGCAGAGGGTAGCTTATAGCTAGACACTGCACACATGGTAGCTGAAGACTAACCATCATCCACAAAAAGCTTGGAGACAATACAATGGCTTTGTATAAAAAACCTCCTACCTCATACCCACCTACCCACGTACGTTGGACATGAAACAGTCTTTGAAGGGTTCAATTTTAAAGATGTTAGTTTATTAAATCTTAGTTTATGATGAATTATAGATGCATTTGTAACGACCCTTGATAGCAAGTTGCTACTACAGCCCAGCTGGGTTCGATTCCCACTCGGGGCATCAAATTTAGCACACTTTCTTCAATTTCTTTATCTGGCTTGTTGGACCTATGCTCGCGGTCGTTAGTTAGTTATTTCCCTGGGGCACCCTCGGGTCATTACACATTACAATGCACCCATATGCCTTTATTTATGGATCTGTCATCCATCTAGTCATTAAATAAAGCCGGAATTGTAGAAATGTTAATAATTAGAGCTATTTTGAGATTTAAAAATCTTTAAAATTGAACCCTTCAAGGACTGTATCATGTCCCACATAGGTGGGTAGGAGGGTATGAGGTAGGAGGTTTTTTATACAAAGCCCAATACAATACATGTACAGTGGGGGGCATAAAGAATTACAAAACCTATGGAAATTACATGTTGTCGCATATGTAATAAATTCTTACCTCAGTGTATTCAGTGCTCTATTTTCTCCGTCATAGTAAGTCCAGATATAGTGGAATTTGTGTCCATAATGACAAATAAGAACTTAAAAATTTGATGTGGAATTCACATGTTAATGCCGACTCTTCAAATGTTGAGGTGATTTTGGAGCCAGATTACGCCGCAATGTGGGTTGGCTCCCAGAATGCAACATGACACGTGTCAGCTTTCAAAATGCCATTCCGCCGTTTTGAAATACGTCACGAATAAATAAGGTTACTTGATGTTGCATTCTGGGAGTCAATCCTCCTTGGATCACAAACATGGCGATTCATGAAAACATTAGTCCGATTTGGTAGGGATTTATCCATCATTTGCAGGTATGAGGCTTTGGATTCATTTATTGTGCTACTTAAAGTGGATGGGAATTATTTTTCTACCACTTTGGAGAGTTTGAGACATGAAACTTAGAATTTAGCTCATTGTGACAACTTTTGAGGGTTGAGATTTATTTTTGTCCCCCACTTTACATGTATGTTGCTCACCAACTCACATTTCTCAGCTTTCAACACTAATCTCTATTTCTACAATGACCTAGAAGAATTGTGGTATAGCACTCGTGCTTTCATTGGTCATCTAGATCTATATCATAGCCATAACTGTAGGCTAACAAATAATGAAACATGGATACAACTAAAAAACAAGTTTCAATAATTTTCGAATTTGCTGTGAAGTGATGCTTTGATTTGTTTCAAATTTGAGCATTTCCAATGCAAAATCGATCTCATTTCAACATATAATGAATGGTGTAGTATCTAAACTAGTTCGTTAATATAAAATGAGATTTCAATGGGTTAACATAGATAAGAAAAATGAAAATGTTACATTTTGAAATATTTTCTTACCGAAGCACAAATTTAACTTCCGGTTTGCGACAATGTAGTCGTGAGTGGGTCTTTGGCTTTCTTGGCAACATGCGTGAAATTCTCCAATTTATTACCTATTTATTGGTTGAATGGATATCATTTGTCTATTCCATGTGTTCCAAATCAATCTGTTTATCTTAAGCAGCACTTTGAAAACAAAAAATCACAAATTAATGATATATTCACTGGGATAATAAACACTCGTTTCTGATCGTAAGATCAGCGCTTCACTCATCAACATCTATTCAATGTTCCCCATTATCTATAGTTATCGCGATAAATCTATAGCAGATCTGCAGGCCCGTAGGCATGATTCACTTTTAACATATTTGAACCAAAAATAACCAAAATCACTTAAATAATTCTCAGAATGGTGAAAAACTCCAAATGTTTTTTAAATAATTTTGGCCATGGCGTTGCTCTCGACGCCCCCCCCCCCCCTTCCACTCGCGACGGCCCAGGACCGGTTTTTATTGTTCAAGTAGCGAAGTTTTCTTTTTAGAGATGTTCTCGGTCGATTTGCTTCACTGTATAAATTTGACGTGTCGCAAAAAGGTGGCGCATTTGTTTTTTAAGGGTATCACGTGAATGTTGTCATGATATTATATCCCCGGGGTTTATGTATACTAAAAGTATTTCGTTCAGTATCTTCATCCGGGTACTTACAATAAATATGTCTACCTAACTTCTGTTTGTCTGTCATTTAATGGACCATAACATATCATAACATGGTGTCAGAAGGGAATGTACTAAAAACCCTTCGACCTATGACCCTTCGACCCTACGACTTACTGGGTGTCAAGAATTTTTGGAACATATTTTTCTGAAAAAACCCTTCGACCTCTGATTTCCCAGTCCAGTTTTCTAAATGATTATGTATAGTTCCAACTTGAGCTCCCCATAGGATTTAATCTACCTAATCGGAAACTGTTTTGTACGTACTCTTTCAATGGAAACATAGTTGGTAATTTTGAACATCACCCTTCTTCAGCCTTATAATTGATAATAATGTTGATCGGGCAGTCTTACCTGGGACCAATTGCTTTCACTTTTTGAACCTGATTTCAAGTCTAAAATCAAGGATTGGCTCCCAGGATCGAAACTCGATATTTTCCAACAATGAAAACGTCGAAATGTCGTTATTTTCTGAAATTAAAACCGACTATAAATTCAAAATAAACAGTTCAAAAGATTCGAACCAATATCTCGATCATTTCTTGTGAGTTTTGGAATTTTTCGTTTGGAAATAAGACCAAAATTCACGATTTAAATGTTGAAGTGAACAAAATGGCGGCTGTTTGAATTCGAATTTTGTATTACGACATACCCATATATGGGACAGAATATCGGTGGTGCACTCTGGGAGCCAATCCTCCTTGGTCTAAAATGTAGGTTATCGACACCATATTTCTCTCGGATACTGGTTATACAATAAGATTATGTTTGTAACTCAAAAATATAGCAATAAATTATCGCTACCTTGTCTAATTACAATTCGATTTGACCAGGAAGTGCTCACTTCTGGATATGTTGATCGGGCAGGAAGACTTTCGTTTTCCTTCAACTCAAAACTGAAGCAAGCTGTCGCCGATTTTGGCTAAACAGAGGAATAGAACATGATCTAGTATCTTCAAAAAGACATACCTTAATTCCCCGTCTCTAACGATTTCAAAGTTTTACCGATATATTGGATCAAAACAAAGACAAATAATGTTTTTTTTTAAGTTTTACCGGTAAAATTTATTGCAGTTTCATCTGTCAATCAACTTTGAAACAGACCCACCCACATAGATTTAGATTTATGAACTTTATTACACATTCATACCCATAAAAGGTTAAGTGTACACAAAGTAAACACTAATTTTACAATATATCAATACAACAGAAAACAGTACATATAACAACACACAAAATTAACACTTCATAATAAATAAATAAGTAAATAAATGAACAAATAAATATGCATCATGGATAAGCACATGAATGGTGATTGTGATACGCGTCCATTGTTTATGTCATATATCACACCCTTCTATGTTATATTACATTTATGAATAAATTCTGCTACAATTTCAATTTCTTTATTTTCACAAGACATACAATATTGGAAAAAAAGTGAATCGTCCTCCATGTTGAAAAGGTGTTTAATTGGGTTGCTGTGTGATACAAGTTTATCGAGCATTTGCTTTCTATATATACTGTATTTTTTACATGAACGCATTATGTGTTTTTCGTTTTCTATTAAATTGCAAACCTCGCAAATTCTTTCATCGATCTTTAATTTTGGGCGTTCGTATCTACCCGTTTCTATTTTTAATTTGTGGTTACTGATACGAAACTTTGTTAGACTTCGTCGTAAATGCCCATTTGAAATTGAATCTAAATATGGTTCGAACCTGAAATTGCTTTTAAATATTTTGTATGTATTCAGTTTGCGACATTGGTCGGAATTCAATTGATTTCGCCAATAATCTTCAAAACTAATTTTTGATTTACAAACAACTTCGGATGCGTCAATAGTATATTCTTTTACATCTAAAGTATTATTGATATTGCTGGGAGTATCTCCTGAAAATGATACTACCTCTAATTTATCCATTACACTTTTAAAATTCAGCATCCACGATGACTTGTTGTTCTTTAAACATATGACGTTTGACCAATCAGAAAGCATTTCAAAATAGACCAGTGCATGAAGTGGGGGGGGGGGTGTATAGAGGGTCTTGGAAATGCATATACAATATTTTTTAGCTCTCTTATACCATATACAATATTTTTTTACCCCTTTTATACCATATACAATATTTTTCACAGCTCTTATACCATATACGATATTTTAGGTGAAATACAATATACGATAATTTTGAAACTGCTTTTGATTAAAGTTTGGATATTTATAAGGAAATAATATTAGGAGAGAATCCATGTACTAAAGTAAATGTATTATTATAAGGGAAATAGACTCCACATACATACCACAATGATTTCATTTATTACATTATGAATAAGACACCATTCGGGTGCATCCGCATGTTCAGAAAAGCTGTGACCATTTTCAGGTAAACAAGTTGATTTAAAACACATTTATGATATAAGATTCATGACTTATCTTTAGTGATTTCACAACCTACTTTGACCAAAAAAGTAACTTTAACATTTCTGCAATTTGCTAAAGCCATTAGCCCATTACCTGTAAAAGTACCATAAAGATATTCAAAATCAGCACAAAACCTGCATCATTGGAATGGGTGGAACTCAGTGTTCCTCTTTCTTATGACCTACTTTCCCATGACATATTTTAATGTCAATGGAATCCTTCATAGTGAGCCAGGGGAAAAAATCCTTGAAACATAAGCGATGCAAAATTGAGAATGTGGAATAAAAGATTCATCATGTGTTCTATGAAAATAAAGTTTGCTGAGGAAAATATGTATCAGATAGGTAATGAAGATTCACAATGCACAATAATTTTGTAAAGCAGTTACCTGAAAATATTAAGTATTGAAAACAGTTTCAGAAATAAAGGACTTCACAAACTTCCATGTAGATAATACATTTTTGATTGGACTCGAGTCTGGAAATTAGAGTTTAAGATAAAGGCAAGACGAGACTTGATTGTTTAAACATTTGAAACAAGAGACACTTCGGGGTTTCAGATAAGGCAGCCTTAAAGACAGTATAAGTTAAACAAAGGTGTGTCAAAATAAAGCAAATTTCCATAAAGTTCAAACCGCATGTTTCACGAATGATTTCAAGGCAAAGATGTATTGATGAGAATGAAAACTACTCTATGCAACTAGAAATAACTTTCTTTTAAAGGACCACAGACGGTATCGCAACAGATTTCAGTCATATATTGGATTTTGGCTATTTTCTGAGGATTTGAACAGGTGCATATGTTAGGCCAACGCATTAACTCCAGGACAAGCAATCATAGAAATTAAAAAATGATTTGGACTTTAAGTCAGGGAAGGTGCAAATTTGCACCCCATCAACATGTTTTTTCTGTAATGTTGTCCTGATTTCCAGCCCTTTCCACACCTGTTTTTCAATGTTTGTTGCATCGATCACTCTGTTGCGTTTTGAATGAAAATATGATTCATGCAGGGGTTTTAAAGATATCAATTTTGAATGACCAAAATTTAGCTGAAAACAATGGATCACATGAGTTTTCCCTATGGTAAAATAACATGGGAAATACATGTACTGTTTTCCACTTTATCCCAAATAAATCATATTTTAGAGGTTAACTGTGTCTCAAAACTGTATCTCAAAGTGCAACATATTGGTGCATCAAACATTGAAAAAACATATGTGGAAAGGGCTAAAAATCAGGACAACATTTCAGAAAAACCTTCCCTGTCTCAAAGTCCAAATTATTTTATTACCTCGAGGAGCGCTTGATCTGGAGTAAATGCATTGGCCTAACATATGCACCTGTTCAAATCCCCAATAAATAGCCGAAATCAAACATATGACAGTTTGAAGACTAAATAAAAACCGTTTGCTATATTATGCTATATTAGCATTGTGATGCTTGTATTAAAACATGCGCTGTATGAACACTTTATACTCAAATATTTTAATGATTTATCCCACATACCCCGAAACACGAGTAGCCATAGTGACCATATTTTTCATGAAAGTTAAGATGAGTCAACGTCGCCAACGTGCAAATGCCAATGTTTTTGCTATAAATCAAGCAACAATGGTCTGTACGACCTGTAATAAATATATAAGCAATGTTTTTATCACAAAATTCTTTGCCGGTTTTTTAAAATAATTTTCCAAATGATAGATAAAAAATAATCGAATAATTGAATGGAGGGGGGAGTGAACGGAGGGGGGGGGGTGGAGTAATATGTCTTTAAGGTGGAAGAAATTTCCACAAATTCGTGTACTTGAAAAATGAACTCACTTACTCAGTAACTTGATATTACAACTCTGAAAAGTGAAAAATGGGGACATATGGAGTTAATGGAAGTTTTCATATGTCTTATAGACACATTACTCCCCCTCCGTTCAATTTTAATAACGTTCGTATACTTTTTATATAACGTACGGTAACGTGTTTTACAAAACAATGATGACAATAGTTTTGTGATAATTACTTCACTTACAAGTATTCATTACAGGTCGTGTAGACC